TTTGGATTAGCGGGCAGTCCCTCTACTTTCCAACGTCTCATGGACGTTCTCTTGTCCGGTTTAATTTATGAGATATGTCTTGTCTATATAGACGACATCATTGTGTTTAGCAGTACAATTGAGGAACACCTGGAGAGGTTAAAAATTGTATTGCAAAAACTCAGAGAGGCCAATCTCAAGCTTAAGCCAAACAAATGTAACTTTCTGAGAAGTCAGCTCAAATATCTAGGTCATATAGTATCAGGAACAGGAGTGTCCATGGATCCGGAAAAATTGAAAGCTATCCAAGAATTTCCAAAACCACGAAATGTGAGAGAAATTAAATCCTTTTTGGGGCTAACAGGATTTTATCGTCGGTTTATTGACCGATATGCGGATAAGGCGAAACCGCTTACCTTGCTCCAAAAGAAAGAAACTGATTTCGTTTGGTCACCAGAAGTAGAAGAGTCCTTTCAGACGTTGAAGGAAGCACTTCTAAAAGGGCCCGTCCTCAAATATCCAGATTTTTCCAAACCATTTGTTGTTGCTACAGATGCATCCAACATCGCCATTGGTAGTGTGTTAGCACAAGTCAACAATGGGCAAGAGTTTCCAATTGCATATAATAGCAGACAATTGACAAAAGCTGAGCAGAACTATTCAACCATTGAGAAAGAGTTGTTGGCTGTAGTACATGCCATTCGTACCTACCGACCATATTTATATGGAAGGAAATTCACATTAGTGACGGATCATAGGCCATTACGGTGGCTGATGTCACTTAAAGATCCATCATCTAGATTGGCAAGATGGTCAATACTTCTTCAGGATCACCAATTTGAGCCAGTACATCGACCTGGCCATAAGAACTCAAACGTAGATGCGCTGTCGCGTATAAAGCTTCAAGGGGGAGACAAAACAATATGGGAACGAGATGAGATCAATTATTTGGGGTCAATCAGGAAATCTGTTGAAGGGATGGGTGAGGATCATGATGAACCAGAGCTATTCACGCCTTGGTTTGATCAACAGAGAATTAGTGAGGAACAACGCCAAGATCAACAATGGAGGGACATCATAGCTCATATAGAAGCAGGTCATGAAGAAGACCTGGAGGGTACTCCAGAAGAGGGATATCGGATGTCAGAAGGGTTGCTATATAGGATTACAACAAATACAAACGGCAGGCTGTTGGAACAATTGGTGGTTCCATCCAGTATGGTGAGACATGTGATTCGATTGAATCACGAACCTCCCATTTCAGGTCATCTAAGCGTTAACAAGACGCTAGGCCGACTACAAGTGCGTTTTTATTGGAAGGGGATGGCTACAGATGTAGCATCATACATAAAAACGTGCAGATCGTGCCAGGAACGAAAACAACCTGTAGGAAAGAGAGTAGCGCCCTTACAGCCCAACGTGAAGGCTCAGAAGCCATTTGATCTCGTTGCAATGGACATTCTCGGACCCTTACCCACAACTCTAAATGGGAATCGATATCTTCTCATGTTTACAGATTATTTCACCAGGTGGGTTGAGGCCATTCCGCTAATGGACCAAAAAGCAGAAACAATCGCACGGGAATTTGTACTTCAGATATTGCTGAAACATGGAGTTCCGACACAGTTGTTGACAGATTGCGGGTCGAATTTCTTATCGAAAATGATGAGATCCGTTTATGAATATTTCGGAATTAAGAAATTATCGACCACTCCATACCAAACAGGAAAGTCCGGTCAATTACGAATTGTCAAAAGTGGATTCAACGAAGACAGAAATCATCCATGTCAATCGGATGAAGAAATTCTTCGCGAAAGGATTCCCACATGAGGAGATAAATTATGAGGAGGACGAAGAAAAGCAATATGGACCATTATTTCCGCGTGAACGAGAGGATTTGATGGGAGAAACGGTGGAAGAAGAAGAAATCGAGACGAAGCCAGAACGCACAACTCAGGAGCGACCAGAAGGAACGTCTCTCCATCCATCGAAAATGGAAGAAGAATCCTTCTTCCCAGGGATACAGTGAGAGCCAGAGGAGGCAGAAGTGTCATTACCACCCATACCACCACGTCAAGGGAGACAGCCACCACCAAGACCGGCGCCGAGATATTCTCTCCGCAGCAGAGAAGAGGTAGAAGATCATGAATGGGTAATGCCCCTGACTAATAGAAATCGAGGAACGAGAAGTAAGGAGGGAGATACCTTAAAACCAGCTCAGGCCGTGATAATGCAACCAACAAGAACAGGCACAAGTTCATTAGTTGACAAAATGATTTGGCTAGTTCAGGCGTTTGAACATCAATCACAATAGATACCTAATCGTCCTGGGTAGGACATTAAACTCCATCCAGCCATTAATATTTGGGTGATCGTTCGGGATAGTAGGCAAATTTTCAGAAAGAAGTTCTTCACTACCATGAACCATATTTCTTTCGAGTAAATGAGAAAGGAACCTGGGTATATTCCTTACCAAAACCGATGAACTTAGTTGTGAATTGTCCCCAAACTGAGCGAAGGAAAATAAAATACAAAATTACCAACCATCAACTGAATGTTTCCGGTCTTATCACTTTGCCAGGGGCATGCAGTGCACATATGACTGGTTTTTCTCAGCCCTCCAGTTATGCAGGTTTTGGGGAAGGAACCCATGTGATTCAATATCCTCTTCATCTCCCAAATATCCAGGAAATGATAAATGCCTCGAAAATTGAATTGCTTAAGCAAATTGCAAAGGATGAAAGATACAGGCATATAAAACAAAAACTGGAACAACTCAAGCAAGTCAGTCTGATTCCTGTTGGCATCCCTTTACAGGAAGTAGAAAGAGAAGTGGCAAATAAAAATCATCAGGAATCCCAAAATATTGAATGGTTTGAGCCTAAGATCATTTTGGCACCCACAATAATCAACCTGGCCCTTTTTTCTATTATGAGCGGAATTCTCTATTTCATTTGCCGCTTTTACGCTAAAATCAAGGTGGAAAAGCACCAAACCACAAAGGGAGCCTTCTCTGGGCTGAGAATATGCTTTAACAAAAATTGCACAGAGACGATTCCCACACCACCTGCTCAAGAATTAGAGAGCGGAGAGGTGACCCCTGAAGTTGAAACTGTCCATGTGTATGGAACATGTGAGTGAATGTTTATTGAATTGCATTGCTTGCACATGTATATCCATTCAGCTTCATAATGGATCATTATGAAGGGTTTATTGCCACTTCATGTTATGAGATCTTTGACAGAATATGTTTCATTGTTTCTCAAAACTACAACCGGTCCACTCCAATTGTTTTGATGTAATCTGATGTATGTGTGTGTATTGATACCCAATTGGAGGTGCGAAGGTGCGTACTGTGCCGAATTTCTTAAATATACAGAAACTGAAAGCTTCGATGTAGGTTCTTGTCAAGAAGCCTACACCGAACAGTCGGGCCGAGTGATGTAACGTATGCCGGCCTATGACCGCAAGTCCAGCGTATCAATAGAGTCCAGGCGGGAGGAGGCGGAAGGAGGTGAACTAAAGCATCCATCAACACGTGGAGGGAGGCGAACCCAGTTTTTGGGGTCAACCAACACGTAGAAGGGCTCCGTACAGTTTATATGCAGGATCCTTCCTTCTCGAATGTGCTACCCAAACACTGGGCAAGGAGCCATATCATCATTATGCGAATGAGTATGAAAGTCCCTCCAATCAAGTCCAATCGCCAAAACCTATCCTCCAATCCAACAAACTTTCAGCGGAAGATCCCTCCCTCGATCCTTCACGCCGAGGTGCCAAAAGACCTCGAACTCGAAGAAAACGAGTCAGTACCGATTTGACCGGGGTACTCGGGCCCTTTTAGATCGTGGGTGTTTTGAAATTGGCCGCCTTTCTCTCTATAGAAACATACAGGGGAACAACGATATAGTTAGAGGACTCATTTCGAAGGTCGTGAATTTTCCCCAGAACATGCACCGTTTTATCTGGAGGGAAGTGAAAATCAGCCCTTTTTCGTTGAGTGTACTGTAAAGGGGTTGGACTGGTTGTTTGACTAACATTTTTTTGTCCTTTTTTTCCATTAATTTTTCTTTTTGGAAATACATTTTTTTTTGTTGTCTTGAATTACGCCTTACCCCACTCGAATTTGAATTGACACGGACCTGATTTCCTGGAAGGGGATTCATTGTAGTGGAGTCGGGGCGCATTAAGGTAAAGTTTCTATTTGAACTTAATTAATAGTTGATATTTTCAGAAATCCTACCGACTGCGCCTCGTGCCCGTTACAAACGTAGGTTTATTAAGGTACATATTGAAATTTAAAATAAATAATAAACTATTACATATTTTACACACATTTAGAACCACACTCTAAATTTGCTTTCCGTCATGAACTCAAACGTTCCACATCTCGCTATATACTCATATATCATTGCAATGCCTGCAATAATCAGAATCTGCGATAATAAATGATAGCACATATGACTCACCACTGTATTGCGACCGCTCTCGTCTGACTCATCATAGGCCATTCCCATAACGTGTTTAACGCAGCCTCGACTTCGGAAAGGGCACTTCCTCCTTTGTCTAACCGAAATCCCTGTAAAGCAAAAATTAGGAGTTACACTCGGTGAGATATTGCTTCAAAGACAACATACGTCTACTTTTATTTGCACTCATGCACGACATACTGTATATACTCACGACTAATGCACTCATGCACGATAACTTCGAAGAAATTACAAGCGAGCTCTTTCTTGAATGTCAAAAAAGAATGGCGAATTATAGATTGTAGACTATTTCTTCGAGCTGCCAAAATTATATATTCATTACGTCCATATTAGACTCCCGCTTCACTCAAGGCTTCGCTTTTACAGACTAACGTGCGTCTCCGATAGTCATATTACGTAGATGTCATTGATATGATATTCCACTATATTTACTACGGAATATAGTAAATGGAACTTGAGGACGACCCTAGGATCATCTCCAAGTTGCAACCAGTGTTGAATCAGAAGGGAGCACTGAAATTATTTCCCACAATGGAGGTCTGGGTTCCATCACGACTGGTGTTCCATCCCTGACTAGGCTCCACATAGCATGCTTCCTTATCAGCGATAAGATTTCATGCATGAATGACTCCGGAAGAGAATGACAATTTAATTATAATTTATCAGGTCCAATAAAGAACAGAAACGCTATTCAACTAACTCCAACAGCCATTACAGCACCAGGTTGGGTCTCCTAAGTAATCCCATTAAGAGTTCAATATGGTTTACCTCAGAGGAACCTCTGTATATCATGGAAACTAGTTTTAAGTCAATTAGAAAGAGAATTAATAGTTTTATGCGGTTAGCAAAAACATATTACTACTAAAAGTGAAATTGAGCAAAAATTGCATTGCATCGACAGGCACATTAATTCCCCTTTAGTAGGGGTTCAGATACACCATAGATTATGTCGAGCAATCATACACATACAGTGGATATGTATGTCTCTGGAGAGGCCTTCGCTGCCTAGAGATTATAAGTTCTTCCGCCATCTTGGTGAAGTCTCTAACGTGGAAATGAATAGCGTGATTGGTGGGTCCCGGCGTGGAGGCTCCCAGACATAGAGCTTGGAAAGGGAAAGATGCCTCTTTTGCCCTTTCCCTCTCCATGCGTCTATGAGCACCTTGCTTGTGCGACTTCAGTAAGATAGGGGTCGCGCGCCTGGAAGGGTGCAGCGCCTCACGCCATAGGGGAGGCCCATCTAATACTAGCGAGTTTGTTTGCCCGAAGGGCAAACAAACTCACTATGGTCGTGCCTTCAGCGCTCAATCACCTTGGATAGTGATGACGTCATCCATTTTTTGCGAAATGTGAAACACGTATTTAAAGTAGGTCCCCATTGAAATACGTGACATATGGGGTCGAATGTCTTGATTTTTTCCATCAAAATCATTACCTCTATGATTCTGTGTGCCTAACTTGAAATCTTTTCTTGTGTCCCTTTTTGTAAGGGTGGAGAATACATTTTGAAAAACTTCCCTCCAATAATCTACGCTAAGGATACATATTTCAAAATTAGGATTTCTCCTCTACTCAGCCATCAAACAGGTACTTCTGAGGGAAGTTTAAATTTCCTGTCTCTGTTTCGTTGGATCAAAAAAAAATCAGGAAAATGGGACTGAAAAAAGTGCACTAATGGTGTTAACAAATTTATTATTATTATTTTGAAATGTAGACTCAATTGTAAGGGTGGAGAATACATTTTGAAAAACTTCCCTCCAATAATCTACGCTAAGGATACATATTTCAAAATTAGGATTTCTCCTCTACTCAGCCATCAAACAGGTACTTCTGAGGGAAGTTTAAATTTCCTGTCTCTGTTTCGTTGGATCAAAAAAAATCAGGAAAATGGGACTGAAAAAAGTGCACTAATGGTGTTAACGAATTTTTATTATTATTTTGAAATGTAGACTCAGGGAACTCCATGCCACCCAGTTTCAGCCTTATACGTTTCCCCTTTTTGCTGACGATAAAAAATATATTTGGAAAAGGAACCCATCCAAAAGCTGTGCTCTGGGGAAACGCTCAGCAAAAGTTTAATTTTTTCTTAATCAACATCACGTCCGATATGCGTGCGACAGCCGCTATTTTTCTATTTCTGCCCGATCCCCTAGGATCTTTGAAAACGTTACGTCCCCTAAAAATATTTTGGAAATTTGACATTTGAGCTGAGTGCTTCACCAGTCACGTTCTTGCCATGTTACAGCTTTCCATGGGTCTCCGTTTGTTTGAAGCAAAGAAAAATAAATAAAAAATATGATGACATTTGAGCTGAGTGCTTCACCAGTCACGTTCTTGCCATGTTACAGCTTTCCATGGGTCTCCGTTTGTTTGAAGCAAAGAGAACTATTTAAAAAATATGTTCCTCGAAAAGGTGTGCCCCTATGGCGTGTATCACCCAAGTGGAATTTTTCCTGAACTCAGCTTGTGAATAGCTCCTTATATCAGTCAGTCAGTCACGATCGTCTATAAATAATCAACGCTAAGGAGACATATTTCAAAATTATGATTTTTCCTTTACTCAGCCATGAAACAGGTACTTCTGAGGGAAGTTTAGATTTCCTGTCTCTGTTTCGTTGGATCAAAAAAAATTAGGAAAATGAGACTGAAAAAAGTGCACTAATGGGTGTTGAAGAATTTTTTTTTCCTTTGAAATGTAGACTCAGGGAACTCCATGCCACCCAGTTTCAGCCTAATACGTTTCCCCTTTTTGCTGGCCGAAAAAATATATTTGGAAAAGCGACCCACCCAAAAGCTAATGTTGGATGCATCTGTAGCAACAACAAATGGTTTGGAAAAATCTGGATATTTGAGGACGGGCCCTTTTAGAAGTGCTTCCTTCAACGTCTGAAAGGACTCTTCTACTTCTGGTGACCAAACGAAATCAGTTTCTTTCTTTTGGAGCAAGGTAAGCGGTTTCGCCTTATCCGCATATCGGTCAATAAACCGACGATAAAATCCAGTTAGCCCCAAAAAGGATTTGATTTCTCTCACATTCCGTGGTTTTGGAAATTCTTGGATAGCTTTCAATTTTTCCGGATCCATGGACACTCCTGTTCCTGATACTATATGACCTAGATATTTGAGCTGACTTCTCAGAAAGTTACATTTGTTTGGTTTAAGCTTGAGATTGGCCTCTCTGAGTTTTTGCAATACAGTTTTTAACCTCTCCAGGTGTTCCTCAATGGTACTGCTAAACACAATGATGTCGTCTATATAGACCAGACATATCTCATAAATTAAACCGGACAAAAGAACGTCCATGAGACGTTGGAAAGTAGAGGGACTGCCTGCTAATCCAAAAGGCATACGTGTCCACTCATATTTTCCTCCTGGAATAACAAAGGCTGATTTTTCAATGGACTTTTCCTCTAAGGGAACCTGCCAGTACCCACTTGCGAGATCTAAACTGCTAAAGTGTTTGGCATTCCCAAGGGAGTCCAAGGTCTCTGCTATCAATGGAAGTGGATAGGGATCAAATAGACTCACACTGTTCAACTTCCTATAGTCACAACAAATCCTTATGCTTCCATCTGGTTTGTCAACAATAACAACAGGAGAAGCCCACGGACTTGTGCTAGGTTTAATGATCCCTTCTTTAAGCATATCCTGGATGTTTTCATTCAAAGCTTGGCGCCTACTTTGTGGCACTCTGTAGGGTCTTTGAGCAATTGGCTTGTGATCTCCTGTTTCAATGACATGTTTCACTAACGGAGTATTACCCAAAGCCTGACCAGGAAGCTGAAAAACATCAATGTAGTCATACAATGTGTCTATAAATTCCTGTCTGTTTGTTTGGTGAACTTCCGAAAGATCAAAAAGGTTCGCAAACTCTTCCTTATTCACCTTGGGAGGTGAAGGAACTCTTTGCGTTGTCATTACTGAAACGGATCTGGGATCAGATATCATCTGAGCCTTGCCAATTACTTTTCCTTTTGGCAACCTGGCTCCCATCATTGAAAGATTCATAATCCTCACTGGAATTTGCCCCTTTTTCACCCTGGCCATTACTGAAGCTACCAATAAACCAGGGATTCCCAAGCCTACAGGTTCAAATAACACGTCAGTTTCTTCCCTGAAAGAAACGTCAACCAAAATGACACGCTCACTACGAGGAGGAACTGTTGTTACATGTGTTATCCGTACAGGAATAGCAATCCTACTAATCACCGAAACCTTTCTGTTCCTCGCGGGAAGTTTCTGATGCCCTTTTTCGTCCCTAATCCCTTTGGGATAGGCTCTCCTCTCCTTTCTCTTCTGAAAGGGAGGGTCTCTCAAGGTCCCTGACCTTCGGGTTCGGATTTCCTTTTCATTAACATGACGGGCATGTGACCTTCGCGGGAATCTCCCTTTTTCCACAACATCACGTACCTCATTAGATCCATGACCCCTTGTTTGCTCCCCTTCCTTTGTTTCTTCAACTCTCTGCCTTTGAATCCGAACATTTTCCTTGTTCAAGCTTTCCCTTTTCATAAGCTTGGAAATTTTCTCATTTGCCATGGACCCTTGTTTCAATCCCTTCTTAACAGTGTCTACTCCTGTATCTTGCCTAGATACAATACCATGAAAGGGTATATTGATTTTTCCACAGATCAAGATGTTCTCTTCAAAGTCTAATTTTGCACCCAAGGCAGCTAACAAATCCTGACCTGCCACTACGTCAGATGGGACTCCACACACTTTGGAGGAAAGCCATGCCGGAATACAAACTTCTTTCCCTGCCACGTTGAACATTAGCTCAAAGCATCCATGACTCTGAAGCAAATGACCTGAAATACCAAACAATTTGTCTTGGGACTTTACCTGAAACCGAGAGTTGAGGATTTCCTTAGGAATTAAATTTGCATTTACAATAGTTGCCTGAGATCCAGAATCTAAATATATTTCAGTGGGGATGTTTTCAACAGAACCTGACACAATAGGCATACTCACCAAAACAGAGAGTTGAGGATTTCCTTAGGGATTAAATTTGCATTTACAATAGTTGCCTGAGATCCAGAATCTAAATATATTTCAGTGGGGATGTTTTCAACAGAACCTGACACAATAGGCATACTCACCAAAACGTTTTTCCCCCCTCTCTTCACGCCTGGTGAAACGAGGGTCCCTTTGAGTTTCCCTGTTGGACCTTGATTGGGCAGTCTCTAGCAAAGTGATTTAACTCACCACAAGCATAGCAGGTAATTCCAGACCTTTGTGAAGGTTTTCTCGTTGTTTCTGGTGGCATCCTGCAATTCCTTTGAAGATGACCCTTTTTGCCGCACTTGCAGCACGTTGGTCCTTCCGAGTTTCCACTCCAAGACTGAGATACAGACCATATCGTCGAAAGAATCGAACTTGGTCCGTCTCAGATATCTCCTCATATCTGGATTCTTAGCACCCTGTTCAAATTTACTTTGAAGTAACTCCTTAAGCAAGGAGGAATCTGTGGTGATTCTGATGAATCTAGCTCCTATTCTCTTTATCCTCGCCCCCCAATCCTTCATTGACTCTCCCGAAAATTGCGCCATTCTGGCCAATTCATGGTGAAGAGTCGTGAGATCCTCCTTTCTTTCATACTGATTCTGATGAATCTAGCTCCTATTCTCTTTATCCTCGCCCCCCAATCCTTCATTGACTCTCCCGAAAATTGCGCCATTCTGGCCAATTCATGGTGAAGAGTCGTGAGATCCTCCTTTCTTTCATACTGAGCAATTAGGATATCTATGATATCTCTCAGTTCTGTGGCACCTTTTGCTTTTGGGTCCGCGGCGAGGAAAGTCCGGGCAGGACCTGTAACTTTGAGTCGGACTATGGCGATCGCGACTGGATCAGCCCACCCCACCAAAGTTTTTGCAGTTTGGATTTTCTCTGTAAATTCCCTAACAGGAATTGATCCCTTTTCCCCCGAAAATTCAGGAATTGATCTCAAAATATCTGAATTCAAAGAAGAAACTTCCTTCCCTTCAGCCATGCTTCTTTTCTTACTTTCTCTTGAATTTACCTTTCACAAGAGTTCTAGCCGAAACTGTTATTCCCAAATCGGAATTGGACTCCCGTGAATCCAGAAATATTTCAAACGGAAAAATTTACTTTCTGGATTCCTGATCAAATTTTGATTAGGCTATTTATCAACTAATCAAAGTTTGATAATCCTGTTCACGACGCCAGATGTAACGGGCACGAGGCGCAGTCGGTAGGATTTCTGATCATATTAACTATTAATTAAGTTCAAATAGAAACTTTACCTTAACGCGCCCCGATTCCACTAGAATGAATTCCTTCCAGGAAACCAGGTCCATGCCGATTCAAATTCGAGTGGGAGTAACTAAGGCGTAATTCAAGAAAACCAAAAAAAAAGTGTCTCTTGTTTATCCTAACTTCAGTCATCCTGCTCTCTTGGTTATTTGGAGAAGAGGAATGGGCCCAACAGGAACCCCATAGAATCTGAGAATTCTCAATTTAATCCTGTCACTATTACTCTGTAGCTCTTGTTCATTCAAAGTTTTCTCATTCCCAGAATCTTTTCATGTTAATGCAATTTTGCTAGTAGAAGAGCAACAGAATAAAAACCCAGATCAGAGTCCCTTTCATGCATCTCCTCTTCCTCTCATCACAGGAATGAGTAAGAGACAGGGAGAAAAGCTTGTGTCCTTCAATCACTCTTTGCTAAAATTGGGTTATTCCTGTCATCTTTAATACTCTCTCTCCCTCTTTGCAGTCATTTCCCTCTTCCTCGGCAGTCTCGTCCATCCTAGTCATTAAAGACTCAAAGGTATCCTAGCTCGCTTCTGTCATGAAGAAGCATTCTTGGCATTGGCTAATGCTGAAAGGAAAGGTTTTTTGCCTGAATCAAATTCAAGGAAATTCAGAATTTATTTTTTATGTGACTAGTTGAAACAACTTGGTCATTGATTCTGCTTAAGTAGGAAAGGGAAAAAATAACTGAAGATATTTCACAGTACCTTGACAAGTGCAACATTCTTCATAAGGAAAAATAATGAATGATTGGTCATGCAGGTTTTTAAACATTTGTGCTACCTTGTTAATCTGGACTAATAAGCTAGCTCCCTCAAGTCCAGCTTGATTAGAGCTGGATGGATGTCCTTTACTAGAGGTGGGTATAAAAATGTATAATCTAGAAACAACAAAAATGAATAGAATAATTAGTTGATATGATCATGTCTTCCTGGTTTATAGAACAAAATTTTATTATAATTAAAATAATATATTGGGTTGGAAAGAAAGTCTTGCAACACTTTCTGACGAAGCCCTGCGTTTCTTCACTTCGCAATCGCCAGAATTCTGGGCAAAGGGCATCGAGCAGTTACCCGTGCGTTAGGAACATGTCATAGACAACAATGGTCATTACATTGTAGACTGAAATTTCATTTCAATAAAGTTATAACATTCTGAAAAACTTGCGCAGAGTGTTGCAAGACTTTCTTTCCAACCCAATATGTTTTCTGTTTTCATATATGTTTTCTTGCTGTTCTTGTCATAATTGTGGAACAGAAAATGGTCATATTATCTTGGGCCTCTTGAAAGTATCCATTAATCACACATTGGGTCCTGCAGAGATAGGAAAACTTGCTGGAATTTCTAAAGATTTTGTTCCACCTTTCTCCTTCCTTCATGGAAATTTTGATGATTGAATGAACAGAATATTCTGTGTCTCACTAATGAAAAAGAACCTGTTATAAATGAAGATGTATTGCTGCCAGTAAAGAAGCTTCCTTAACTGGCATAATTTCAACTAAAATAGTCTGCAAGAAGTCACCAACCAGGTCATCATCTCAGGAGAAGCCATGATTTGGAACTCTTTATCACCCTTGTTACTTGTTAGCTTACCAGTTGCATGTATCATTTTTGCCATTGCTTCTTGTTGAAAATGCATGAGCCTTGAGGCTTACTTGGTGATTATCTGACCTGAACCACAATTTGCATCACATATTGTATGACATTGCTAGATTCCGTTCGCCTTGAAGTCTGGGTCCGGGAAGGGGGCTGAGGCAAATGGAGGGAATTCATACAAGGAGTGTCTCCCCCCTGAGGAGGCAGAATTGGTGAAGACATGCTACATTGAGCTCCAGGATGTCATCAAGGCCATTGCCCAGTCTCTCAATGTCAAGAACTACACCTCCCTCATGAACCTCCAGGTGATTAATTTACGTTTAATTTACATTTGATTAAAGGTTTTTCTTTGAAAAGCTCACTGAAATATGACCATTCATGTTGTAAAATTAACTGTTGTAATAGTCTTTTCATAATGCAATATGACTCATTTGTAATAGATATCAATCTTCAAGCATCTGTCAAGCAGTTTGAACAGGCTGTCCAGACTGACAGTCTGAAATTACATCACTCCTTCTCCAATCGCTTGTGAGCTTAAAGGAGTAATGTCAGGTTATATGTACAGTATTTAGGCATATGCATCCCCCTTCGTCAATCTGTTGGTAGAGCCCAGAAATTTTTTATTCTGTGAATATGTTGACTGCATCATTATTCTTGTTCTGCTTTGGTGCTGGTAGGCCCTGCAGGAGATGGGGCGGAGGATGCCAGAGACAGCAGAAGAGATGATGTCCATCCCACACGTGACCGAGGCGAACTTCCACAAATACGGCGAGACCCTGCTGGAAGTTACCCGCAAGTATGCCGCTCAAAGAAATGGTCTGTCTAACATGATCGTCTTGTTGTCCCTTTTGCATGTTGTTGCATTCATGTCTGCTTATCAGAAGTTCCTGTATTTGCTTGCTCTTGAGTTGGATATGGCCAATGCAGATGAGAATGATCCTTGAGACAATGCCTTTAATTTGTTGCAGTGAAAGTCAAAGTCAAAAAAAGGTGTAATTCCTTCATGCTATAGAATAAGTGGGGAAACCTACCTGTGCATACCAATGCATTGGACATGCATGCAGTGGACATTGCATAGCATGTCCACTGCTGAACCTCCAGAACTATAATGGTCATGAAGATGGTCATACTTCCCATGTAATATACAGGGTGGCCCATAAGTAATATGGCAGTTAGTGACACAATCAGCAGTCACAAAAATTTGCATTTGCAAAACTTTCTCATTTTATCGACCGAAATAAAAATAAAAATCAATTAATAATCAAAATAAAAAAATAATGAAATAATAAAAAAATTGTACCTTCTGCTGCTAGTGACTGCTGATTGTAACACTAATTGCCCCATTACTTCTGGGCCACCCTGTATGTAAGATCTGCTGTGGTGTAAGTCCAAAAAAAATTATGCAGAAGTGAAGTTTCCTAAATAGGGCAAGTCTTAAAAAGCATATGGGCAAGCTGACTCAGATCTCCAGGTTAATTCCATGTCGCATTTGGTTTGTTTGGCTGGTTATCATGGTGCATTTCACCATTTTCTTCCCTTATTTTTGCAGCTCTGAAGGCAGCAGCAGCAGAGAGTCTAATTCTGGATGATGAAGAAGGAGAGGGTTCAGAAGATGATTCCTCCCCCTACTTTGGCGCAGCCTCGGCAGGGAATCCCCGCAGAAGGGCCAGGGGAAGGGGCTTTACCCGCTTCAGAGGGTCAGTTCCCATGTTTTTCTCTGTGTGCTTTGATGTCAATGGTGCTTCGCCTCGATTTCGAGCTTGACCATTTGAACATCTGTTTCTAGCATTTTGCTGTATTTTTGTGAGAATTGTTATATGCTGAGACCTTTTCATGAAAATCTGAATGATTTCCATTTTTATGACAGGAATTTCAGGAGAAATAAAACAAGAGGAAGAGGAGGAGGAGGCGGAGGCGGGCCAAGCTCTCGTCGACCGACTTCATCAGACAGGGGGAAGGGGAAAAAGAGGGGGAGCAGTAACCGAAATGTGAACGATGGGATAGTGACAACATCGGGTTCCTGGATCCAGGCGAAGCCACTGGGTGCCACAAAGCCAGGCCCCGGAGTCATGGCTGATCCCGTCCCACGCTCCCGCTCCTTCCTCCCACC